TCATACCTTACAACACTTGTGGTTGGTGCAAGGGTATATTAAATCTGTCTGCTTGTCTGTCCCTCTGTTCGTCATGGATACTTGCATTCAATTTTTAAGATAGTTTTTACGAAATTGACGCACCGATGTATTTCGATCCAAAGACTAACTCTATTGAAAATCGTTCAGATCGGACCTTTTTTTCGGCCCAGTTCGAATACGCATTACTTTATTAAACGAATTGATGCAGAGTGCTTAATGATGCAGGCGTTTACTTGCCCTTTTTTATGAATGAATGAGAAAAGTTTACTCGATATATTTTTTTTTAATATCTGATGAACGATCTTATCATGACACTCTTAGGCAGAATGTTTCGTTTTACTGAGTCTATTTTATTTTTATTTCACCACGTTGAAGACAATACTGAATCAGTTTTGAACGATGATTTGCCAACGATCCGTATCAATCAACTTTGTTGGATTGTCGTTTTTCGTCGGTAATCAAATTCGAAAAGATATCGTCTAAAATCAATTGTGGTGAGGTGACAAGCATCAGCGCCATTCAGGAAATGATTAGAAAGCTAGTCAGATTTATAGACCTTTATTACTCTAACCTATCCTAATCCGCTCTATTCTTAACGGCTGCTCAAAGTCCATTTACAACTACTGTTATTGAATATTAAATTTATGACTATTGGAACGAAAATGAACGTTGCTGTTGCTTACAATTGTTCGTTTGTCTATATCCTTTAAAATGAGAGAAAACAAAAAAAAAATGTCATTTGTTCTCGCAGCCCGTGAACTATTGTTTTCTTTTTCATGCATTGTTTTTTTTAATATATTTTATACATAGGCCATCGGAACCCTTATCTATTCTAATTTTATTTGGATTCCATTTATCGCAAATCTCTTCGTTTCTTTTCTTTATTTTTATCAATGTAAAGAGTTAACCGCTTTCAATCTTCCTTAATATTATCGATTAGATATATATATATAGGCAAGGCAAAGTTTCTCTTTATCAGTTTACGTCTTAGTTTTATCTCTGCTTTGTGTTTGTATGACACTTGTTGGATATAATTTACTTTTTAACATACTTTTCCTGCATTTTATCTCCTTTATCGAGCATTTCTATGTTAGCGCATGAACAAATCTAAAAACTCTAAACTTTACCTTATAATATCATCTAGCAGCGCGTATTCGCATTGTGCGAATGTGAGACAACTAAAGCCAACGTCACATACATCTAATGTTATGTTATACATAATATGTGATGGATGTTGACAAGGAAACGTTCCATTTTGAATGTAAAGGCATGGACTTCATGCTAACATGTATCATATACTGTAAGGTGTTGTAATGCATTTCGACAGTAAGCAAAGCTAATTAATTGTAAACGCAAATAAGATCTTACGTCTTAAGGTTTACTAAGTCATATGGTAATTATTTCGAATAAAATTTGACAGTTTTACAACAAGCATACAATGGAATATCAATAACGTAAAAAAACACATTTAGCTAATTTGTGTAGGTAACTAAAGGTAACTAAATGGAAACGTAGTGAGTTATTGCAACGCACATTGATAAACGATAGCTCAATAAAGCAGACGCATTGAGGTTAACGAAAGCAAACAATTTCATTCACTTAAACGATAAGCTAAGCCTTTTTTAGTATATGGAGCTATTGCGGGAACGGCAAACTGAAATGTTACAGCAATGTCACATGTTTCTCTCTGCAAAAAAAAAAAAAAAAAAATAAAAAAACTAACAGTAAAATTTAGGATGCATAATGTTTCAAGGATTATTCTGGGCAAGGTAAAGAATTCGAAACAAGAAGAAAACCTTGAACGTAAATAAATCAATAACTTAAGCCTTTTTTATGCTATAGTTGACACTTGTAGGTTCTCTCTATCTTGGATAGTCTTATTACCAACTAGAATTACTTAAGAAACAAGTTTTCATTTAGAGGTTATATCCCTATAAGGATTCAGGTAAAGTAAAAATTAGTAGAAGGGCTTAACTGTTCATAGTCTTTTTTATTTTTATTTTTATATTTTCTGGATTAAAATCATTATCAACTATTCAACGAATTTCCTGCTTGGATAGCTTGGCAGCTAACTGAAATATATCATCGCACCTCAACCCATAGGAAAATTGTATAAAAATGAAAGACAACATACAACTGCGATGAGCTACTTAATATTTTACTTTCTCTCTACTCTTTTGGCCTTAACAGTCCTTATAATACTAAAGTAACTCATAGTCTCCCCTTTCTCGCTCATTCTCTCTTTTGAGTCAGAATCAACGTTCAGTGAAAAGGTTATGTTTTATTTCTCAACTAGTAATAGTTGGATGAGCGGTTGGTTGGGAATTTTCATTTCCATTTCATGTTTAATTGGAAGTGAAAATAGGTTTCTTCCCTCAAAATATTTACAAAAATAATAATATTAATGCAAGTGTTATTGGTACTTCACTCTCTCTCTCTCTCTCTCTCTCTCTCTGATAATGCATAGAGTTCGATCATATAATCAATAGATAATGAATGATGCTTTGTGAAAAAATGATTAGATATTCAACAGGCTGTTTGCAAAAGTATTCAAGAAATTTAATGCGTGAAAAGATTTTCTTACCCGCTCATTGTTTATTCGGATTTTGGGCTAATTGAGTCTGTCGGCAGAGTGAAATACGAAGCAACCTGCAACTTCATTTAACTTGGGCAAAAATTTTAGATTTTCACCCTTTGAAGAAGTAATTATGTCTTCTTTTACGTGCTGCTCGTCTTAAAGATTGTCGCTTAGACGAATTCTATCCGCGATTATCGAAAAGCTCCTTATTAGAATTTGGATTATGCGCGTACAGTAAAAATGTTCTTATTCTTGAATTGAATCTTGATTACATTTTAATTTGTAAGTTGCGCTCTTTCTATCGGCTATAACCCTTTATATGCACATCTCTGCTAATTACACTAAACGAAGCGGTTCGAAAAGACTTTGTGACAACGTGAATAAATCTCGCTTTCCCAAGGTTAACACTGGTAAGAACATATTGTAGGGTTTCGACTAAGCGTGTTGGGAATTATCATCTTACCAATGGAATGGAATCGATCCAGTCTTTGCTTTTATTTATTATATATGGCCTGATTTATGCAATATCTGGCAAGGAATAAAAGATACTGAATCTGAGATTGGCATCTGACAAAAAGCGAAAAAGGTTCGTACAAAAAAAAAAAAAAAAAAAAAAAAAATGATTTGTAACGATGCTTGCGATATTTTATTTCAAAATGAATATCGGAAATAGCTTTAATGTCATCTTTATTATGGAGATGTCATAAGAATTATTTAACGGATTTTCAACATTACGATCTCTTACAGTCCTAAGTCAATATCGACGTAAAATTGCAATTCGGCGAAATATTTTTGCTTCGAAATTTCAGTTGTTCAGCATAGGGGAGCATTAAAAAATTAAATACATATATAATGATTGAAAAAACGTACTTGTGGTTGTGTGTGTGTTGGGGCAGCATTTAGCAGTAATGTAAATTTCTCAAAAATAAGCTCGTGCCTCATTCAAGTAAACATGTATATTACTTAAGAGAGTGTTATTAAGGAGAGTAACAGACAATTTTAGTTTAAGTTCTAAAACTCTCTCAACTTAAACAAAAAAAGAGTTAACTAGTGTTCGGTTTTATCCGATTTTTCAGTACCCACCGTTTACTACTGTGTATACTATATATATGATGTCGTATACATACATATTTACATATATATATAATTTATCTATATATATATATATATAGATGTATATGTATTTGTGCATATACATGTATGCTTCCTTTTACTATTTTAATGTATTTATGGGCAAACTTTTAGAAGTCGTAGATTTATATCGTCCAGCTGTACGATTTTCATCGGGGAGTTTAAGTAAGGATTTCGAATAACAACCAGATACATATACACCTTTCGGAATTTCAATGTGTGTACAATGCATGCATATGCATTATGCAAAATTATATAATGCTTGAGAAATTATTTATATGATTGTGGTGTAGTTATATTAGTTTGGGGAAAAAGAAATCCATTATTTTTTCGGTAGATGGCTCTTTTCCCCAACCCTAATATAAAGATCAAGTGAGTGAGCGTAATTGTTTCATAACTTGGTTTATTTTGAGCAAAGTTCAATTGTGGTTACATTTCGCAAGTTAACAAATCATTAGAATATTATACGATATTTATAATCAATAATCGCATAACGATGTTTAATAACATACGCATAACCATAGTTATTTTGGTTTGCAGCGCAAACACGAATACAACAAAGATAAAGGTTTATCAACTATACGCATCGTTACAATGTTGCATGCAAGTTATATGTTCTCTTCGGTGTAGACACACAACTGCACAATTCTCTCATATTTTTGGCATTTGAGTGTACAATGCATAAGCATGAATTGTGTTTTACTCTTTACACTACCACGAAAGACTTCCACAGCTGTGCTGTGAAAAAGCACAATGAAAAAGAAAAACTCCGATTGCATTTCTTCTTGTCGCTCCAAAGCCACGAGTGTCCTTTAATTTGTATGAATTAAATGAACAATGAATGTAGAAAATGGGAGAGCAAAAGTGTACGAGTGAAAATTTTTGCTCGAAATCGTTGTTGTTAGAGAGAAAAACAATCAAAACATAATATTCATTTTATATATATGGAAAAGCATTATTATGGCAACGTGTTTGCTTTACATGGCATTTATCAAAACATGACTGTTATTAAAATAAAAACAGTTCAAACAGTTCCAATTCTAAAGTGCAACTGATTGGTTCGATTGGTTGTTGTGTCGGTTAAATTAAGAAAAAAATTAAGAAGAAGTTTATGGCAAACTAAATGTATATATATATATATATATATATATATATAATATAAAGATGATTATGTGAAATTTACAACAAAAAAAAAAAAAAAACAAACGGAAAAATTTTCAAAAATAATAAAAGAAAAATTTTGCTCTGAAATAATTTTTTACTGAATTAAAACAAAAAAAAAAAAAAAAAATTTAATATATACGTAAAAGCGAAAGTTCTACAAATTATACCAAATATTTGTAAATAAAATTTAAGAAATGTCACCCTCAAGTACTACCAAGGATTACCTAGAGCTTACTATACCCACCGTTAATAATACACCGACCGCCACTTTTTTGGATACAGTTACTGTGCTGCCAAATAAGATGGACGTATGGATGAATCAATTGCAAAAAGATCATCCCGAGATCTCTTTCGTGATACCCAATCATCGCGATAACCAACATATCGATAATATGATGAATTTTAAACGTTTACTCGAACAAGTGGGCAATACTGCATATGATAGTATCGGTATGAAACATCATACCCCAGCTTTATTAGATTCGTATGGTCATACAATTACTGGTGAGCAGATATCGAAAACCGCTGTCCTAGATATGGCTGCACTAAAGCAGTCTGCCATGAATGGCTTCGAAAGATTTTTTCTTGGTACGGACATGAATACATTAGTTAATTATTTATGGATCGGTATCGTCACATCATTAGTGATACTATCAGTTGTGTTTATATTATTTAGTTGTTATTTTTATCGGAAATTTCGTGAATGGAAAAAATGCAGTAAGTATGCTTGATGAACGCCTTCTTTTTCTCAATTTATAAAATTTCATACAATAAAGATGTTAAGTTGTTAAGACAAAGTGACAACAAGATTGATTTATGAAAATGTGATAATAAATTTTTTAATCATAAAAATTATTGACGTCTACTAGGCAGAACATTGCGTAAAATAATTCTTCATTTACGAAATGATTTGCTTATTAAAAGTTTATTAAAAATGTTCAAATTTTCAATATCCGTCACTGATTGGTGGTTAAATTGTATTTCGCGACTACGCGCGACTTGTGGCAACAGTATGCTTAGTTTATATGAATATATGCAACACACAGAAGGAAGGATGTGGAGTTGATCCACCTGTTATTATACCAATCGATTTAAGCATGTCTATTTGCTTATTTGTCTGTCTGTCTGTTTTTCTGTCTGTCTGTCTCCCCTATCCTGCCATCTATTAGTGCGTTCACTCTACAGGTCGCAATTTTCAAAATATTGTAAAGAAATTTGATTTGATTAAAAGGCGAAAGCTATCGAATTGAATAAGAAGATATCGAACCATTTTTAGAACTAATCCCCATAGATCTATTTTTAAAAAAGTTACTATTTAAAAAAAAAATTTTATTTTTAGTATTTTTTTACAACAAAAAAACGTAAGAAGTAGTATTCTGGCGTACATACGAAATGAATATGGAATGAATATAGATCGAGTCCAAATCATTTATTAAATCCGCTCCTATACAAGAAGCTAACGCCTTCATATGACCACTCGGGCTAGCTTTTAGTATTCTATAATGAAAATTGCATGATGGCAAGTTCTGCATAAAATGTACCCATTCTTTGGACCTTTGCTTATAGTATGTAAGTACGAAAGTCCTTCACGCTTTATAACAACGAATTGTATTAGGCCCGTATTGCGGGATATTTAATAATTGATTTTGCTCACACATAATATCGTAAGTTATTTCACGTTTTCTTCTTTCATTTTTATTGTCATCTACCAAAAAAAAATATGTAATAGTAATAGTTACGTGACAGCAAGCCAAGTACAAATGTTATGCTTTTGCAAAAAGAAAAAGAAAAAAAAAAGAAGAAAACATCTCAAGATTGCTTTTAGCTAATTGCATTCAAGGCAACTATTGCTTTTGCATTCAAGATTATATATGTTAGATATGTAAGTAAATTCGTTACGGTTTTCCTTTTTTTATTTTTTATGTTTTTTGTTTTTGGGTGAAAGTCAACTTCATCGCATCAGATCCGTTTTATGAAGCAACCAATTTGAACGGAACGATTACACTCCTATTTATTTGTTCATACACAACGTTACCTAACTTCCTCTTATGCGTCTCTTACGTGTTGCGCCTGTTCATTTATTCCGGGTTCCGAAAATATAGAATTCGGCAGGCACGATATAGCAACCATGCGGAATTAGTATTACGAAATTCGCTTCACATGAGATTTCTTGAATTTTAAAGCCACACACGATCAAAGTAATATAAAAAGAATTCAAAGTTTTTAATCAAAAAGGCGTAATTTATTAAATAAGTTATATATACTTATAAACACTTATGGGTTTTTCTTTATACCTAAACGGTGCTATATTGTAGTAAATTTTCCTCTGCCTTGTTCTGGTTTTCCTTCTTTCGTAAATTTCCTTCTTTTTCCGTTCCGCTCTTTCTTTTATAATAACAAATGTTTTTTTTTTCTTTATTTATTATCGTCATGATTGTTTTTATTCGTAAAGAGAAAACGTGAAACGTAAAGAGAAACGTGAAACGAAATAACCGCACAGAGCTGAAGCAATTCTATATCGAATTGATTCTATATAAAATCGATTGAATTCTGTGCAGAATTGCATTTGTACCGCGAATACTGTATAGAGTGTGATAAGAACACTACTTATGCACTACCAGTTCCAGGTTTTCGAATCAACTTCGGAAGAAGATGTAACTGGTTTTTAGATATCTAAGATATCTACAATAGGTAAATATCGAAATTTATTTTTAATAAACCACATGCTAATGAAAATATCATATGGTAAAAATGTGTATAAAAATATGCTTTTCTTACTTGCGTTTACTCTGACTATTAATCTCGTTAGTAAAGGCCTTCAGGACTTTAAATGAATCGATTCTCTTGGTGTTGAAGGGATAAAATTCCACTTGAGTTTGTGTGCATGTATATATGTCAAACTCAAAAGGGTTTAGGAGAGATTCTTAGTAACCACTCCACTAATTGGTTTAATGAAAGGTGAGTTTTTTTTTAACTCTTTCTCGGTGTTGTATACATCCGCACACACTTAACACACCCTATAGTACAAGTAGAGCAGGGTATTTATTGTTGAATGCAACTTGATTTTATTCTCAAATAAATTAACCTATTAACTGCGGAATTTGTTTTCACAATTTCCTCATTGTATCAAAATGATGCGATGACATGGATACAAATCAAACGCAACACCAATCCTAAATACTGCGGAAAACTCAGTAAAGCGAACAAGATTTCATTTTTATTAAAACAAAAAAAAAAAAAGAAGAAGAAGAAATTCATCATTCAAAAACTCCAAGAAAATAATTGCATTCATTAGAAAGAAAAATTGAAACAAAAATTTAAGAAATTAGTTTAAATAGAAATTTAGATATTTTGCCCATTTTTTTTTTTTTTTCTTTAGTCCTTTTTAGAGCTGGAGGTGTTGGGCGTAAACGATTCAGTCGCAGGCGAATACAATTTTCTTACTTGTTTTTTAAGGAAAATATTCTATGTTCGCCGAAAACTAAACACAGCTAAACTAGAAAAAAAAAAAAAATGCATTTTTAATCCAACCTGTGATGTGCTAAGTCCCGTTGAGGATTTATTTGTTCAGAGAAATCCTGCTATAAAACATTATTAGCTTAGTTACATGTAGGTGCATGCATAAAAATGAAAATTGAAAATATAAAATTTATAAAACTAACATAGTTACGCTCTGATATGGATACACATACACACACATATATATACAGCCAACTGAATGTGAAGCTATACGCATACGAATTGAAAGCGAACGTCAGATCCACATAAATCGTTAAGTAAAGATTTGGCAATGGCCTGTTAGGAGATAGTAAAGTTAATTGTAGAGGGCCGTCTTCAAATTTATTGGTCGAGTCAGGTATCGAAATTGTATTATATGGCCTTAATGAAATTATCTCAAAGACCCTAGGCCATCATGAATTTTTGTAATTTTTTTTTGCCATTGGCTGCATGCTCTTTATTGAATATATAAAGAGAGGCGATAAAAAACCTTACACTTAAAAAAATCGGCCAATTAAGGAAAAAAAAAAGAGGAAATTTATCTAGGCCGGATACTGTTTATCCTCTTTCCTACTGATCTCTTTGGAATCATTTTTGAATGTGGAATTTCGTAACTATATATTTTGTTTATGCTGATGAGGTCATCAACATGTATGTGTTGCTTTCGTTGAAAGCATATACTATATATTTTCTCGTGTGTGTAATTTAAATCATAAAATCTGTTTTATTTCAAAAATTTGAATTCGCGTTTTCTAGTGAAGAGTATATGTAATGCAGCCCATGCTCACTTGCCGTCTCATATAAACTGCTGCACCGATGTGCACGATCGCGAATTGCAATTATCCTATAAGTAATCAAAACTTGAAATCCGCTCTCCCTAAAAATTGTCTTCACAACCACGAGAACGCATATTATTCTATGTCTAATGTTTTCTATATTGAAAGCTATGGGTTAAGCTTCTTAACCTTAAGGTATTAATCAAAATTTTTAAATTTCAAATAAATTCACGAATAACATTAGTTTGACAGTTTTTGTGCAATCATTCTGTGGATATTACAAGTTAACTCTAAATGGTTTGTCACGTTACGAATTAATCGTCGATTAAAGAGTCATTTCAATAATTTGTGTTTGGTTTTCAAAAATCTTTGTACAATTCGATAAAAGGTATTCCGAAAATTTTTATGCCAACGTAGAAAATCAAATTTCGTAAACGAGCTGAAAGTAGACAATATTGAGAATATTTTTTGTTTTTAGATAAATTTTCAAAAAAAAAAAAAAATCGTATTTGTTTATTTATTCGTAATTTCCATCTGATCTTACAGATAAAGATATACGTTCCCGTTTGAATCATGGTGTTTACACAACCGGCCATTTGGTACCATGTGACAGTGCAACCGATGTCGAAGCGGCCTTTTATCAAATGGAATCTTCACGATCGTCATTACCACCGCCATGTTACACCATAGCCACAGGTTTGCCTACTTACGATGAGGCAATTCATAATCGTAATCAACAACCTCAGCATAAGCATTTCACTTTTGGTATGAAATTTGTTTATCCTGCTCTCACTGTCGTACATCCTTCAGCGGTCAATTCGATTAGTTCGTGGGAGAAACATGATTTAAAATTATCAGAAAATATTGAAAAATCAAATCATCGAGACAAACAAGTCCTAGTCAATGAAGATCAGCAACAGAAACGTGATGAGTTAACTGCGATTGCGATTGCGTCTCCGCTATACGATGCAACAACAGCGGCCGCGGCTTTACTTACCGACAAAATCATGGATGGTATCACTGATTCTGCAACATTAGATATTACAAAAAATTACACCGACACTGTCGGTTATAGTAATGGTTATGAAATAAATAGTTTGAGAGATTTAACAGATATCGTTACGGTTTGATTATCTGTTGTACAAAGCGAACAAAATATGAGCGAATTCGAGTCATTAAACATATTGTAAATAGTATGTAAATAATAATAATAATATTGTAATAATAATAATAATAATAAACAAGAAGAAAAATGTACAAAAAATTTTTTTTTTTTTTTTTTTTTTTATGTTTAAGCTTCAACACTTTTAACTTCATTATTTCAATTGCAATCAAAACTGACAGGCATTTTAAGAGAAATAATTTTATTTTTAATTTCCATGATAAGGGTTTGTAGCTCTTTTCAAATTTTTGTATGTTATTTAAAATTTAGTAAAACTGATGCTGTCTTCTTAGATAACCGTTTACATAAAACCGTCTTTGCTTAATTTAATTTAACTATCAGAGGCGACACAAATTTTGTCATACATAAAGTAAATAATAACGAATTAAATATGTACATGATTACTATTATTCTATATATTGTTCACAAGCTTTCAAATATCTGAATGTTACTGCAAATTTTCAAGTTCGAGTTTTCGAGTTCACTGTTTTTATATGCATATATGAGAAAAATGAAATTTATGTTTTAAAAAATGAAATTTATGTTTGAAAATTATGTTTATGAAAATGATTACGCTTTGATCATACTTATAAACGCTTATGTTATGTTAAAAATGCGATATGAATCTATATCGCAGTCATAACAAAATATTCATCTTTAAACGAATAAATGGTCTCCTCGTCAGTTCATTTATTACGGGCGAAGCGAATATTTACACTTTCGCAATTCGCAATTCGCAATTAGACCAATGGAGAGCGGGCTTTTTGCCAACTTAATTTTAGAATAAATGCAAATGCAAATATTTGTGACTACTTTTCCGCATAGTTATTGTTTCAAGTCCAAGTCCTTGAGTAGGCGTTTGAGTTTAAAGTTTGAAAAGTTATTGCGTAGACTTCCTCGCATGAAAGAAATATGTCTCATATCATTGCCCGTTTCCCCTCAATACATTATTTTTACTGCGTTACACTTACTTTACCAGAGAGTGAAAAGCAATTAATCATTACTTTTGCAAAAGATTTCATAGAAAAAGATTTTTATTTTGACACGACGGTTACATAGAGCACATTTGAACTATCAAAATCCACCCTCACATAATTATACTCGTCGTTCTTATCACTCGTCGTCAACCACTAACCCACACCCATATGGAGGACATGCCCTCAGTACCAATTGGATATATTTGCTAGGATTGCCAATAAATATTCCGCAATATGCATTATTCATTTCAGGATTCACTCTTTATGCTACAAATAAAAAATAAAAAAAAGAAAAAAAAAAGAAGTAAAAATAATATATAGAATATAAATAAAAAAAAATAAAGAAAAACGTTATATGTAATGTACATACAAGGTTTCACTTTAACTGTATTTACCCACAAAAAAGGTTTCAGTTTTTAACACAACTTTAGCTCACTAAACCTCAGACCATTGTGTATAAGATTATCTCTTCAAATTTACTATATATAAGTTAATTTAAATAAAATTGAATTAAAAAAATATATTTGATTCGAGTACTTGACTACGCGGTTCATTATACCCTACAGCACTTGTGGTACAGAGTGTATTAAGTTTGTACGGACGTATGCAAGACGCAGAAGGGCTTAGGATAGACCTAACTTTTATTATATCGATCGATTCTGAATATGATATAAGCCTGTGTGTCCGTCTGTCGGTCCATGTAAATTTGTATTCAAGCTGCAGATCACAATTTTAGGTATACTGATGTGCTTTGACTCAAGCGCGAGCGCTGCTGACAACAACGATCTTTTTTAAAAAGTTGTTATATGGAAAAAAATTTCCCGATAAAACTCGCTGTGCAATAGTATTTGGAAAAGTTTGATTAGACTTTCACAAATTTTTTGAATCTCCTCATAAAATCGTTCCTACGAAAACTGAATCGTTATATGGTAAATGAATATAATTTTCCATATTCCATGGTGTCTTTTAGTTCATAATCGTAAATTGACATAGAAATCAACTTTGCCGTATTCGGACCAGGTAGATGTACTTTTTGAATATCATCGCGTATACAGATCCTTTCAATGTGTGGAGTTTCATGAACTTTTGTTGTTTTATTAACAAAACGAATAACTAACTGTATTAGTCGAAGTGGTGTAGGGTGCTTAATAGTCGGCCTCGCCCGAATATAAAGTTCTTACTTATTTTTATTTGCAATTATTTCTTAACAGTAAAGTATCTGTAATTACACTTACCGTTGTTATTTATTCTTATTGACTATATCGTATGCGAACATAGTTGATATGTGATGCAGGTAAATTTCTGTTCTTACAATCTGTAATAAATTAAATCAAATTTGCAGCGAGTCTTATTGAAAAGCGGTCAATTTGATCGCCATATGACCGAAAAGGAAATTTAATAGAATTTTCCTTAACTTATATGCTCGTATATGATGTAAAGATAATAATTATTTTGTATAATGTAGTCAGAGATCAGATTCGATGTGAAATCTTTTACTAATTGGCGAAATAATAATGAATTTAAAAATGAAAAAACTCTCTCTCTTTCTGATAAAAATTATCTTCTCTTTTAAAGAATCGATTAATTTGGAAGAACACTTATGTCAGTTGGTGAGCAAAACAAAATTCGCCGAAAAGAAAATAAAACGAAATTTTATTTATTGCTCTATATACTTAAATAAATAATTTTTTAACGTTTTTTTTTTTTTTTTTTTTTTTTTTTTAATTGCAATAAATTTGATCAATGAATGGGTTATTGGTTAATCTAAAATTCATATTCATTCATATAAAATTCATTGTTTCATTAGGTAAGAGTTTTAAATGACATAAGTGACGGAAGAAATACAAATACATCTCACACTTTAATACTTCTCTAATTTTCAATTAATTAATTAATTAATTGTATACATATAATTTTATTTATTTTGTCCTTGCTTAACGATCTTAATAGGGATTCACAAGGTAACGTTTATGTGCTCGTCATTCAAGTCTTAACGCTTTGACTATTTAGTCAAAGGAAATGATATCACATATAAGTATAAGTTAAAAATTCCCTACTAGGAATTCTTGTTGCAATTTAAACGCTTTCGTGCGGACGCATATATAAACAAGCGAAAATACCACAGTAGGCAACGGCCGACTAGTAAATGCCTTAGACCACCCAAGAGTTATGATCGAAAAATTGATTTAATACTAATCACCGCTCATAACGTTTCTCCTTGGGTCAAAGTATGGCGGTGTAGTAAATTTTCAATAAAAAATCTACAAAATTACGACCTATACGCTGAAGACAAGTAAAGAGGCAGATCGACGGACAAACGAGCTTAAATTGATGCAGAAAGTGATTTTGAATAGATCGGTGTAATAAAAGATGGGCCTGCCTCATGTCGTTCTGGGCATTACATACATGCGTAGACTACATTAATACGCCCCTGTTTCATTAATTCTGTTCTTAAAAGCTGAATAAATTTTACGAATATTCAGAGTTAAGAGCAAAATTTCGGAAGGTAAATTAATGAAGGCGAACCTTCATTCGCATCTCAATCATGCTCAAACATCTCACTGATGCTTATTAATCTAATAAAGGATATTCTTATACTTCTCTTGCAACCTATCATTTTATTGAAATATATATTGTTATGAAATTCGCTTTTCACTAGGATACAGTCCGTATCACTGGATCGTGGATATTTTGATCAAGAGAAATACACAATTTATTTTGGCCGTACTCTCAGCTCAAATGCTCTTGCCCGACTAACTCTCCCTTCCACAAATATTCTATTTATGTACATTTTTACAAGTATGTTACTATACCTAAATTTATGGTTTTATTTCTAATCCCAGCCTGCTTTTCCGCTAATCGTTTTCATCGGCCTGCAGCTGCATGAGGCGCCTGCGAATGCTCATTTGGTTTTTCCTTCGTTAGGGAGTTTATTATTACGAAACTTACTTAGCTGACATTAACTGGATTTGGGATTTTCGTAACAATATTTTAAAATTAATTTTTATTGAGATGGGAAAAGGATGAAAGGTATTTCTATTTTAAAATAAAAAGAATTGTGTTTCCTGTGAAAGGAGCGTACAAGTCAACAGTATATCTCTCTATTCAATAATAAGTACGATGTAAAACGTTCTACACGCCTGAAGGTGAATCATTGACATCCACTTGCTGCCATCGATACGTTTACGTTTACAAAATATTTTGTTTCAAGATGAGCGTGACAAAGGAGTATTTGTATCAGATGTTAAATAAATAATTCTTATGGTGGTTGTAATCCTCCATTTTTCCATTCACGATGTTTCGTTCGTTTCTCTGTGAAGCAAGTTTTAGCCGAGTTTGAGATCAATATTTGCTATAAATCGGGATATCATAGGTTCTCTCATTCTGTGAGCATGGTTACAGCCTAATCGGGACCATATTTAAGACTCCACCTATGTCTTCTAATTGGAAATGTATATTGAAAGTGTTATAACTACCTAGTTAAACTATCGGGACACAAGGATGGTCCATTTGTTTGCAGCCACTCTCCGCGAAACAATACCTAACGGTGGTACCACAGAGGGACATGACAAAGGATATGTGCATGCGTAGCCGCCATCGATCTTTGAAAGACTTCTACGTGCCGTTCGCATAGCGAAAAAACAAAGAACGCACTCACACGCCCCGCCCGTCTTTAACAAACAATAACTGACTCTCTCATAGAGTTATTCCATAGGGTTAAGTGTGATAAGGCGACAATTCAATTTCAAATGAATAACTTTTCCAAACTCGAATATCTTGAATATAAATTAACTGAAAAATTTTAAATATTTGCTTGGGCTTGCGTTTATGATGAAATTATATAAAAAGAGATAAGAAAATTATATCCGCCTCGAGGATATAATAGTTAATGGGAGTTAATGAGTCATCTTTTTATCGCTTTGGACGAATATCTCTTATAAGTTGTAAGTTATGACTGTCTATGTATATGTATGGTACGGGCATGTTGACGTCCCTATTTCCGCTAATGTGTCAAATAATCAATGAATATCACATCAATATTTGCTATGAATTCTAATTCTATGCACCGAAGTGATGTAGGGTATTTAATGGTCAGCCAT